AGGTATTATTTAATTGAGCCTGTAGTTGGTTAAAAGGAGTTGCCAAAAAATTACCATTTAGTGCAAATATGTCTCAAATGCATCTCAAATGTATGCCTGAGCAAAAAAAAAAGCTATGACAAATTACTTCAAATGGCTTTGCATACAGAGCTTGCTTTCTATGTTATAATTAATGGTAACAGTAAGCAAACTTCTCAGAAAAGCAGGCTTATTTTATAGCTGAATATTTCAGTATAGATTTTTCATCTATTTTGTCAAAGCAGTTGTTTTAAGGGAATGAAATATTTAAATAACATAAAAATACAAATATCCAGTTTTACGTTTCCCTAGGCTTATGAGTGTGATTTGCATGTAAAGATAAAATTAGAACTGCAAGCTTGCACAGTAATTTTTACTGTAGCCCACATTCGATATTAAAATAATTTCTGTGCATTTTAGACAATCACTTCTTTATTTATTTATCAATACATTGAATCTCATTGTAGGAATGCAACAGCACAGAGAAAAAGCTTATCTGCCCATTTAGAAGCTTATTTTATTATTTACTTTCTACTCATTAGCAAAAGTGAAGTTTTCGGAAACCTTACACATATGGTGGGTTCAGTGCCTTAGTTAAGAACCTTATTCTAACACATTCGCAAGTGGGAATGGGGAAAAAAATCACTGTAATTTAGGTTTTGTTTTCCTTTACACATCTGTGAGCACCGTTACGGTTAGAGCACTTTGCAAACCTTATATTCACCAGAGAGGAAGCTGGCACTGTGTGCTACAGCAGAACTATCTCCAGTTCCAATACACCAGTCTAACCTGGTCACAGCAAGTTTGCAGTGCCAGAAACAAATAAGCAGCTCACCTGTAATAGAGCTTGTGCACAAAACTTTTTAAATTACAGGACTTTTTCAGAACACTTTTTTACCCAGACCAGGAATCTTGAAAGAAATTATAGCATACCAGAAATCTGAAACAAAAGCAGTGTGGGCTTTCTGACTTGGGTGCTTAAAGTAATAAGTAAAAATGTATTCACGTACAAAACCATCACATATATACCCCAATTTTACACCCTCCAGAACACATCCAAACTGAAGGAATCCCTTCTCTCTGCCACCATAGCTCCAAACCAAGCTGTTTCGTCCAGCAAACCACCCAGCTGTCACATATTCTCCCTGTTCCAGACCATCTGCTTTTTCTGAGAAAAAATAATTAAATTTCATCTTGTTCTGAACCAGTGACCCAAACCAATCCATGCTTCACCTGCCCATTGAGGGCCACGGACCACTGCCTCCAACACCGCACCTTGAAGAATACGATTAGGTGTTTTATCTGCCTGAAAACCCCTGGAAGACCAGACTCTTGTGCATCCATGTCATCTACCTTTCCTATGTGAGTCAGTGACTATTTATTTAAATGATAGGAGGGCTCACCAGTCCTCCTCATAGCCTAGCTCCCCATCATGCTCAGACACAAAGAGGGTCATTTCCCAGGGCAGCTCCACACCTCACTCACTGTGTAGGAAAAAAGCTACTGGGTTCACTGGGTACTCAATTTTTCACTTAGGCTGACAGCTCTTCCTTCTTCAAAAGAAAGTACAAGAATCAGCAAAGCCCAGTCATACTACTTTGTGTTTGCTGTTAATGCTGGAAAACCGTGTGAGGTTCTAGTCTGAAGAGACCTGCTTTAGAAACGCAGTGGGTGGGTAGCAAACAGAGGAGCCACAGCTCCATTGCCCTGACATTTTTGTATGGGTGGGACACAGCATATGTAGATAGAATCATAGAACCACAGAATGTTTTGGGTTGGAAGGGACCCCTAGAGGTCATCTAGTCCAACCCCCCTGCAGTGAGCAGGGACACCGCTAACTAGATCAGGTTGCTCAGAGCCCCGTCCAACCTGGCCTTGAATGTTTCCAGGGATGGGGCCTCCACCACCTCTCTGGGCAACTCGTTCCAGTGTTTCACCACCCTCATTGTAAAGGATTTCTTCCTTATATCCAGTCTAAACCTACCCTGTTTTAGTTTAAAACCATTACCCCTTGTCCTGTCACAGCTGGCCCTACTAAAAAGATTTTCCCCATCTTTCCTATAGGCCCCCTTTAGGTACTGAAAGGCCGCAATCAGGTCTCCCCGCAGCCTTCTCTTCTCCAGGCTGAACAAGCCCAACTTTCTCAGCCTGTCCTCATAGGAGAGGTGCTCCAGCCCTTGGATCATTTTTGTAGCCCTCCTATTTTGTAGGTAGGAAATATGCACATGCACAGTTCCAACCCCCTTTTAAGTTGTTTTTTCTTTTTGCATATTGCTAGAGGAGAACAAACCAGAACTCCACTTTGGGCAAAAATTCCCCTTTGGCCATCTTGGAAAGAGCAGGTTTACTTCCAGGTGGGTTACAAAGTCCCCAGCCTCGAGCAGCAACACTGCCCTGGGCTGATCAAAACGCCCAGGCCCGCCAATGCCACCATTTCTGCTTTGAGATGGGGACCAGGAGGCCAGCCCGGCCAGCCAGCTCTTGAAAGACAGGGAGAGGAGCCTGGCAGGGTGTTCACGTGTCTCATTTACAGACTGAACGCTGTCCCTTTGAGGCAGGCAGATCATCCATGAAAGCGCAGTTTGAGCTCCCCAGGAGGGAAAGCTGGTGAAAGCTTTAGTGCGGGGATACTTGCTGAGAAATGAGGGTCCTGTGGAGAACGCGCAGAGCCGCTCCATTTTACTGCCTCCATCGAGTGCCCATTACCCTGTGTTTCTAAGAAAGTAATCTAAGAGTAAGCTACGCTTTTAAAAATAAAAAAAAAAAAAAGGAAAGATAGGTATGCTACACATCGTTTTGTAAGGACACCACACCCTGAACATGTTGTTCCTCTAACATTTACAGTGAGCACAAGGGACTGGGCAGTAAGCCGATGCCAATGAATCTGCCATCACTTCTGCAGCAGCAGGATGAGATGGGAAGGTCTGCAAACCCAAATCCAAGTGGTACGCACTGCAATCCAGCCTGCTGCCTTTCTCCTCAGAGAAGAGAGGGAACGGCAGCCCGGAGCAGCGAACTCTGCCCAGCCAGCCAAATCCTGCCACCTGCACGTGCGCCTCCCTCAAGGGAGGAAGGGCGGGAGAGGAAGGGATGGAAGCTCACATCTTCCTGAACGTATAGGACCCACCCGCCCCGCCACAGCAAAGCGTGGGGTTTTTTTCCAGTGAAAGTAAATTGCCTGAGTCAGCTAAACTGAGAACCCTACGACAGACCTTGCCCATGTTCGGTAATGCCTTCTTGACGACTGTTCAAAATGAAATCAATAGACTGGTTGGGGGCTTAGCAAATACACCCACACTAAGGACTGCAAGTCTCTTACGACTGGGCATGGGCTGCCTGGACGAGGGAAGAGCCACATCACCCCCCCGCCTTACAACAACCGGCAATGTGCAGAACAGGGTGGGGGGAGCACACCGTAACCTGTTCCTGCCGGCACCAGCTGTAAGATGCTCCCCACCCAGAAATAAAGGGCACATGAGGAATGAACTGTGCTTCTGCAGTCTCTCAGGTGACATTTCTCTTTCCTGCCACCTCCTAGGTCTAAAGGCACATCCTTGCCCAAGAGCAGTAACTGCTACGCTAGACCGCTCAGTATGGATATGAGCAGCTTGCTCTAGCTCCTGCTAAACTGAAGTTACTCATCGCCAAAATAGCAGCAATTGCTAAGTACCATACTTTTCAAAGGAGAAGAAAAGCTGAGCAATTTTTTCCTTTCCATTTTTGGAACTGTACTGTAATCTGTGCAGCTACAGAGCTGCAGCTGACACTACATCACCCTTTGCAATGACCGGAGTAAGCAGCAAAAATATCTGCAGAGTTTTTGGAGTATCAATCCCGACATTCCCCTCTCCCTATGCCCACAGCATCTGTAATCTTGCTTCCAAATCCTGAAACACAATTAGAAACCTTCCCAGGCTTAAAATCTTCTTTACTTAAGCACCCAAAGTTTTAATTGCGCTTTGCTGATACAGTTTAAAGATATATGGAAATTCTGCCAGATGTCCATGGCTAGCGGATCAGCTGAGGAACAAGTCAATCGCAGGGATCTGAGCCTGGCTAATTACCTTCCTCCCTCGTGCACACCCACTGATACAATTACATATTTAACTACAACAGACTAGACCTTATACGCTGCTGAACAGAACAGCATGAAGCTCTAAAATAAGATTTCATCTTTCTCTTTTCCTTTGTGCAGCCTTACTTCAGTAGGAATGAGCTTGCTGATGAGCTGAAAAGTATTTTCCTTCTAAGGCACATGCCTTTTTTCTGCTGTCCGGTGAGCAGAAAATGGAATAAATTACATATACATTATAGCAAGACACACAAGGACTAGGTGGGATTCTTTTTTGTTTCTTGTGGTTATTATCCTGGGCACTTTTAGATGAATATGCAATCAGAATAGAAATCTTTACCAGGAGAACAAAATTAGGATACATTGTGCTATAAGCAGAGCAGTCAAGTTTCAGTGCATTTTCAATCCAGTTATTAACAACTGAGCAAGTGCTTTCAAAAGCATTAAACATAATGCTGCTTTCTTCAGTGTAACCCTTGGTTGAAAACACAAATTTTTTAAAGAAACTGCTGAATTCTATACCCAGACCATTCTTTTTAATTCGTGCTGAAAAGCTCCAGCACTCATATACCTTATACATTATTTAAATACACCCTAAAACCCAAATATTTTGTAATCACTAACAACAATTTGGCAGAAAGCATCCTGAAATCATCTGCTATTTCCTATATGTGTAAGATAGTAATAACAGTAACTGACAGTTAATGACAACATAATAATTTAAGTGTGTTGACAATTATTGAACTGAACGCACTTCGGAGAAACGTAAATGCCAGAGGAGGGCAGCTACAGCTCAATGACTAATGTGTGCCCTGGATTCTGACCATCAGCTTTGCTATTTCAGTTTTGTGACCTAAATCTCGCTCCCCTACCAGAAAGAAACAAAAAACCCAAACAAGAAATCTCTTACTTGTTCTGCCTTCTCCGGTGGTTTTCTGTCCGCCTGCAAAAACTGGCAGTTTTCTCTCGCCAGCTTCTGGACCAGCTCAATCCGTCCGATGTCATCTCTTGCCTGAAGCTTGCACAAAACCCCTGCCTTAAGGGTGGGAGAAAGAGCAAACAGATACTTAAATCCACAATCCCAGGACATGACACCGCCACAAATTTCAACCTTAAAAGAAACACATCTCTCTTCTCATCTTTGCGGTACTTCGGTGCCGCTTGCTGAACGCAAACACGTCGCTGCTTCCTGGGAAACAACTGGAGAGGAGCCGAGGCACATCCAAATCTCCAAATGTATCTACTTTGGAGGAACGAAGGCAGGGCTAACTAAATCCACCGCTCCTCTGAGTGTGACTCTCAGATAGGCTGTGTTTTATTTGTTCCTGTCAGCCTGTTTCCTGTTACATAAGAGAACAAGAGCAAGAGGTTAAAAACTCATGGGAAAGTTAGCCAGGAACAGTCCTGGAAAAAGAATGAAGCACAACACCAGGCCCTCCTAAAAATAACAGGCTACAACTCCCCCTGCCCCCACTCCAACCATTTTTTCACGTATGCAAGCCGTAAGAGTTAAAAGGCAGTTGCGCCACGTTTATTTATTCTGTAAATAAAAAATCAATATCTCCTGACTTTGTTTAGGGAAGAAAATGAGATTTCCTTTAAAAACTGTGTTAGAACTATTTTTTTTTTTTGGCTAATATTCTGCCAGTTATTCAGGCTATGCTGATAGTGTTCCATCATAACACTGGTTGTTTTTACAAAAATGCCATATATGTAAAGATGATTTGTGCTTGCACACAGGCATACCAGACCCATCACAGTTAGCTGAGGAGGGTTAAATTGCTCCCTGCAGCGTCAGGGACTAATATCACTACCCATGATTGGGTCATGGACGTAGCCTCTGCGTAACTGAGACCTGGCTTGATGATACCACACGGCTTTTATTAGCCCTGATGTTTCCTGATGAGAACAGCATATGCCCTGGGAAGACCAGGCATGTGGCATGGCTATGGTATTGCCATATGACTTTAAAGACAATCTGCAAATAAACCTTTTCCCCCACTTCCTCCACCCTTTTATTTCTGCTGTTCATCCTGAGTTTAACTGAATCACTATCGACTCCAAAATTCATAAAGCATCTTACAAGTCAGGACCAAAAGCCAGGGATGCCCTGATTGCTACCCCGTAGTGCCATGCAGGCTTCATTCCTTTGGCCTTGAGAAACTCCTGCCCATGACAGGTGAAGATGTGAGAGTGCCCACCCAAACCATCCTCCAGTCCGCTGTTTCCTCCAAGGAAGATGGAAATACCAGTTTCTTCAGCCCTCTTCAGGAGGGTAACAAATCCACTTTCTGAATAAGTGCGTTAATGCTGATGGAAAACAGGTTCCACAACTAAATCTGATGAGTTAAACTGAGCTAATTATTTGAAAGAAATTTTTATGTGCCGACATTCCTCCAATCTGCATGCAGGCATCTCCTCACAAGCCTGCACCAGGCACTTGTGCTCTGGAGAAGGAAAGAATTTCAGCTACAGCCTGTGCTTTGCACGTCGCTGTGCTTTGCATGTCCCTATGCTTTAGACCCCAACCTCCTGAGGCACCCAGCTTTCCCACATAAGGAATCTACGCTCAGAAATCCACCAAGAAAACAAGGAAATGCAGCACTTAACCTGAAGATCCTTACATTTTCTATGAGATTAGCTCCTGATCTTCTAAATCAAGGACATGGATTTATAAACAAGTTTTGACACACCTTTATCACCTGCAGATCAGGAGTGAGACTGATTGTATCAAATGTGGAAGAATGTAATGAACTAGTTGTCCTGACTCTCTTCAATCAGTAGAGAAAAAGAGGTACATAGGAAATTTTTTTTACTCTACCATAGACATTTAAAAATGGTCAGATGAGTTGTTTCCTAAAATTCTTTCCTTTCAAGTAATTTACACATGGAACCTAGGCAATTGCCACAGACTTGGCTGAGGTCAGATGTCTGCATTTCACAAGACTTTGATGGCTTGGGGACATCAGCTAGAGCCAAACCTGCTTATTTCATGGCTGCAGCATGCTTCTGGCAGAGAGCATGACATACGTGCGCTGTAATCCCCCCAGGCTCGTAGGCTAAGGACAAGACAAAGTGTTGTGGGCTATTAGGGCTTTGGGATTATTTGGGCTTTAGGACTATAAAGATCAACAGCCTCTCTGGATCTGGGATCTTACTACCATGGAGGGACTTTTCCCACCTTCATATTGTGCCCAGCCAAGTCAGACCATGACCTACGAGTGGCATAGATGGTTATGAGTCCTTGCACTTCAAATGGCAGATGGGCATCGACAGAAACATAGTGCTCATTCTGCCGAACAAATATTTATTGATCTTGTGCATGAAGCAAAGGCCAATGGTTAAAACCACTTTTTTTTTTAAGCTGAGGGAGGGGAATTTCACTTTGGGGAGGAGCAACTGGCTTCAGTATGTTCAAGTGGAAGAAACACCCTGGAGAAAGACAACTTTTTGAACACATGGGCCTCGCGCTCTTTCACCCCTCGCCCTGTGTTCAGGCAGAGCATATTATTGCTTTGTGCATGCATGAGCACTCCAGGGAAAAAGTAATTCTAAATACAAGTCCATTACCCCTGCCACGAATACTGTCTGTATTCAAATTGGCCATTTCATTAAAGAATCATATTTTAAGAATCCTGTTTTAAATAACCACGAAGAAGAAACCTTACATTTTAACATGTCCCTTCCTCCCCAACTAATCTTTAATTTAAGAATTAAAGAGAACGTGAAAAAAAAGTATTTATTTTATTGGGTTTCCAGAGGATAAAAGGTCAACTAAAACATTTCTGGGAGGGTTAAGGCATTATCAAGTTAAATGTACGTGCTTGGCTCCAGGAGTAAAGAATGCACTTGAAATACAAAAGGCTAAACATGCTTTTTCATAATTAAGAAGAAAAATATTAATCCCTACCTTTTAATTCTAATTTTCTCAATTATGCTGACTTTCCACTGTAAATCTTTCTGCTAAATACTTATAAGAAAGCATCCAGGTCAACTAATTAATTAATTGACGACAGCTTCTAAAAGCTGGTTGGGAAGATATTGTTAAGAGTCTCCTATTACTGATCATTTTCACTTGTCAATATAAATTTAATTTTCAAGCAATACCTTTGAAGCTGTTAGGCGAAAGAGTAAAGGCAAGCTGTCATCTTTCGATTTGCATTTTGTGCAGGCACACACCCTCCAAAATCCTGCATGCCCAAATGTTGGTGCTTAGTCCTCTAATTCACGCACAACAACAGAGATACAAGTACTAACTTATGTGAAGGTGAAAATCACAAAGTTGCATATTTTAACTGGCTTTAATTTAATGAATGATAAAAGAATGTAGGAGCTTTATAGTAAGGCTTTACTACCTTTCACAGCACAAAATTACTATAATTAAAGGTGTTTATGCAATATTTGAAATGAAATAAAAAAGTCTAATGGGAAGGAAAGTAAATTAGTCACTACTAAGGTTGGAAAAGCAAAGATGCTGACAACACATTTTCTGTTTCAGCACATCCACTGGAAAATATCCCCTCTGCAAAAACCATAAATGAATATGCTAGCAGCGACACAGAGGTAAATTAAGACAGGCAGACAGGATGGGATTTTTTATTTACATTATTTACACTGTTTACAACTTGCTCACTTTTAAAAATCCCTGTACTGAATTTTTTCCACACTTCGACCAGTTTTGCCAACTAACTCCAATGTAAGTCAAGCCTCCATCCCGAGAGTGGTGGTTAGAGCAGGCACCACACCCTTCAACTCTGCTAACAGAAAGGGTTTGTGGTGGTTTGATTTTTTTCCACTGCACCTCTAGCTCCTTCTGTGTCTGGTGAAAACAACGTAATTACTACAGGCTTCACCTTTGATCAACCTGAAAACTTAAAACCATATGCCACTGCCTCGAAAGATCATTTGCTTTGCTCCAGTCACATGCACAGTCTCACTAAAGTGAAAAAAAGTCATTCACACCCTTAAACCAAACTGTATTCGGCGTTCGCAGGATGTCTTTCTTATGGCACTGACAAACAAATTGGAGCAACAGCTGCTTTGATAGCGCTCCTGTTCTCCTCCCAGTTGGGAACTTGAACACTTTTGTTAACTGCTCACTTAATAATTGTTTAATTTGAAATGTGTTTCAAATTCTTTCAAATTTTAGAAGCTGGTTTCCAGCCAAATAAAAGCTGAGCAAACCAATATCCCAGCAGTAAATCCTTATGGGTTTTTATAATCTGCCTATGTAATCTTATTAGATGGCTACTTAGGAGCTTTGAGCACACACGTCATAGTCTTTCTTTTTACATCTCTGACATAAATGTCAACAGACATTTTCAAAAAATAACTGCAACAATCAGGTAGAACTGAGCATATATGAGAGCTGAAAAAGAAAACAGAAAGCCAGATTGTTTGTGCAGTGAGGTCGTCTTTCCCCCTCGTCTCTTCTATAGCTCTGTACCACACAGCTGAGCTCTGGAAGACTGATCCTCAACCCTACATTGATGTGAATTAGGAATCAAAGTCAGGTAACAAAATTTTCACACATTAGGGCTCCTACTACACTTTTTGTTTTTTAAAATAGATTTGAAACTGTGTGCGATTAAGAGTAGGCCATTTCCAAACATCTTTCTCAAGCGTTACTCTGAAGAGTATGCTAGAAAAGCCCGGTTACACACTGATGCAGTAGGCATATCCACACGGTCCCCCACTCTTCTGCCTACTCTCTCCAGGTGTCTGCCATGGCCCAGGTCTGCTACCGGAGCTGCCTACAGACCCATCCTGGGCTCACTGTGGTTAAGAGAGCCCCTACCTTTAGAAAGATATAGGTACTGCTAACTTGGCGACGTGGCTTGTACCCCTTTTGCTAGGCTTGCTCACAGTCACCAGTGCAAATCCCGTCTTTCTCGCACACACCTTTTTAGCAGGCAAGGTGTTAGGAGATACATCAGAGACAGGAACTGCAAGTTGCATATGTAGGAAGGAGAGAAGGTGGCAACTGGTGGAAAACATAAGATTTTCAAGAGGAAGAGAAGAAAAAATAAAACAGTCAAGACTGGGAGAAACAAAAATTAAAAGCTATAATCAGTACCAATACAATGAGCAATATAGTTACACTTCCACAGTTTGAATGCATGAACTGAATGATTGAATGAACTGGAGATTAATCAAAAAAGTTTCACAGAATTAGAAAGGGTAAGCAATTCCACAATAAAATAGTCTAAAATGCAGTTAAGTTTCTTCTGGGCAGTATCTAGAAGTATGCTTTAGTTGTAAATGAGGGCAGTTAGGGAAGGAAAGAAAAAAGGTTGTTGCTTAAACTCGAGTGACTAATAGGTATCCTCATTTCATTGCATGTCTACTTAGAGTGATTAAAATTCAATCAAAATGGCACATACCCTTGCCTCCTAAAACACATCTCATTTTATTTTCACATTTGGTATACGCTATGTGTATTATCTAAAAAGAGCAGAGAGATAGTTTAAGAATGCTGTCCGATTTCAACATCATGGGATTAATTCCCAGGGTAATCATCAATCTTATTCTAAATAGTCACATAAGACAAGATCCAGCAGACTTTCTCCTTCCTATGGGCTCCCTGCACAGAACATTTAGGAAAATACATTTCGCAGATTTATTGAAAGCAGATCCGTAAACTTGCAGATCTAAAAAAGTCCCTGAGATGCCATTAATCTTGCACATTTACCTGAGCATCAGAGGTATCCTTGAGCTCTCCTAGTCCTCTTATTTCTTGACTGCTGTTTTCCTCATTTTGATGAATGGCTAAAACAAGAAAGAGGGAATGCATTGGAAGCAGGCAGGTTGAAATCACGAGAAGCAGCAAAGCAGCGTGGCCCAGTTTAGATCAAATAGGATGACCATTCAAGAAACCTTGTTTCACATTTAGCTTTCTAGTTGACTCATTGAGTAGTTTTGGACAAATCCTATAAGGTACACCTTATTGGGTTTGGACAAATCCTAAATAGGGTATACCTTATTTTCCCCAGGCACTAAAATGCAATACTAAATAGTTATACTCCTGCTACTGTTAGTCCTGGAGTGACATTTAAGGAAACTCCTCTTTTCCATACATTACAACAAAACCTGATGACTCATAAAGAGTAAAAAAATCAGACCTCCTTATGTTGCAGAAGGTCAATTCAGACTAAACAAAATAAGCAGATTTATCCCTCATCTCAGCCTTGGAAAATCCTTTGCAAGCAAAGTGATCTCAATCTTAACGACACCACCACTATCCATGAAAGTCATCTCTGGAAAGAAATGGTAGCAGAAGATAGCCTATTGAAGGTTATTTGCTGCTGGCACAGTAAGAGAAACCAGTAACTTAGCTCAATTAACACTGCTTAACACCAGTGATTTTTGCCAGACTTCAAAGAAAAAAGGTTTGGATCAAACAAGTAAGCTTTGGGCAGGTGGAAACCAGAGTTATCAGTTTACCTACCTAAAGAAACAAGGACCACTTTTGAAGAGCCACATCAGACTTGCGTATTGCAAACAGCTGTATCTATAGGTAGTTTTACTAGCTATAGCCCAAGACACCCTTCAAGTCAACACACCTGCCCACTGTATTTTAGTGGGACATTAAGCCCTCAGCCATTCTGAAATGTGACACATGGCAGGTTCAGAGGGTCAGACCCGATGAAACACGTGAGAAGTGACTTTACCTTATACCGTACTCATTTACTTACAAGCACCATACTCAAATATCATCATTCTTGAGCACACATCAAATGATTTGCTAGTGTAGCCATAGCAGTTGTGAAAATAAGAGAGTCCTTGAAGCGGTAGAGCTGGCAGATCCATCTAAACACCACCAGGCTCCTGGTTCTGATGGATGGACAGGAGGATTCCGCTCGTGTGCTTCCTCCTGTCAACCTCTCCTCTCTTCTTCACCCCTAGGTACCCAAGCTGGTCATCAGGCTGCACCTGAACTGCCACAGCTCACAGCACTGTGTTTTGAGACAAGGATCACCAGTCCCGTTTTGCCTTAAAACTACGTCTGTGAGCTGAGGCAGCCCAGGATTTGATTGATGAACAGATCGGCTGCAGAGGTAGCAGTACTACCTTCATCCAGCCACCCTTGACAAAGCTCTCCTCAACCCTCAGCCTGAATCTTTAGATATACAACCAGGTTACCATGGCTGAGCTAATACCTGTAACGTGAGCCACGAGGTCTAGCTTGGTGCCTCTGCATGGGTGCTCTGGGTCTGCTGCAAACAAAAAGCAGCCTAACCTTTAGGCAGCATCTAGCAACTTAAAAGAAAAGTAACTTTAGACTGTTCTTGACCTCTAAAATAAATAATGTGGATTTATTTTCTTTTTATAAGGTATAATTCTTCTTTCTTCCTCCACAGTTATGCTCCACAGTTAGGCTATGCGGAAAAAAAAAAAAAAGTAATAAAAATGTAATTATAAAAGGGGAAAAAAAAGTCATTTTGTCAATACAGTTTGTTCCATTCAGGGATCTTTTTTAATCCATTATCAAAGGAAAACAGAGGACTGGCATAAATCTTCACTAGTGGGTTTGCTGACATCACTTTACCAGCCAACCTCTGAAATTCAAAGTGAATGCTGAAAACACAGGGTCAATCCATAGCTATAACAGAAAGCATGTATAATGGGGGTTAAATCCCAGCAGCTTTTAAAGCTAGGCAAAATCAAAATGTGCTTGGGACATTGTGGCACATCTCTGCCCCAGGTTGGGAAAGTAACTACCCAATGAAGCAGTAACAAGAGCGATTGCCTCAGCAGCCCTATGTGGGCCCTGCTTTCCTAGCGCAGGTCAGGGTTTCCCCAGGCAACCCACTCCATCCAGCCAGGCTGGGGGCTCTGTGCAGTCCCCTCCCTTGTAACCTGCCTCCCAGCCTTCCTCCCCAAGAGCTGCCTCATCCTCTTGCACACTCCCACACATGCGTGACCCCATTCCACCCCCTGCCACGGCAGGGGACACAAAGCATTCGGGACATCCATTTGCTGAATGCCGTTCAGAACAACTGGCATGAGCTGGGAATGCTGCTATGCCAGAAGGCATTAACGATCGCTAAAAAATGGTTGTGTGAGCAATCGCAAATCACTTAAGTCTGTGGCTGCATTAGCAGAAACACAACATTTCCCCAACTATCCTTTCAATTTTCTGATTTTTCCTAAAATCAATTTGCTGTAGCCACTGATGGGCAAAGTATCCCCACAGACATTGGCTATTAATCATGGCATTTAAAGGAGTGGCACCTTGCTAGTAACAAGACCACGGGTCCAGGTTTAAGTGATTTACATTGATCCAGCCAGCTTTTCCAACAAGCCTGAGCAGATGGGCGCTCTGCAAACAGCTGTGCCAGGGGAAAAGGTTAGCGGCTGCCAACTGGCTTCTTGTCACCAGCCTCGATGACAAGGGTCCCATTCCCTGCCCAGTACCAGGGCAAACACCCCAGAGCATCTTCAACCAAAGCAAACGGGCGGACCTTCGAGGAGCAGCATGCTGTTGCTAACCTGGCTGGGCTGGTGGATTAGCAAAGGGATGGTATCTGGGCCGGGGAGCTAGTGACAAGCCGCAAACACCCTGGGCTGAGGGCAGTAACATCTTCTGCCTGTCACAAAGGGAAATTTTTTTTTGGAAAGAGAAAGAGGGTGGGTGTCCACAATCCCAATGGATCCAGATATCCTTGGGTGTTGAAAAATTTCAGCATGAGCAATTTTAAAGATTATGAGTGAACAACCTTGGTTTAGATGTACCCTAAGTGAACAATTTAAAAAAAAACCCAAACATTTTTATCAGCAATTTCACAGCTCAACTCTAAAAAAGCTGAAAAAGTTCATAATCCAAACCCAGCTCTCCTTGGCTTCAATGTTGTTTAGACTTTGTAAGGAATGTAGAAAAGAACCAGTAAATATTTTCTTAAAGGAAAAGAAAAAATCCCAGACCTCACACTGACGTTCTTGCAGCCCTCTTGGGAGAGAGGGACCAGTTGGCCTCTTTTTCATGAAATTTCCATCCTAAATTTGATTTTTGTGTCCTCTCTGCCTATTATCCAAGCACATAAGAACCAGCCACAATTTGAACCCCTTTAACTACAGCCAGGGAGCTATACGCAAGGAATCACACCATTTCATATGTTTTTTTCCATCACAAGAACATAGTCCGTTGAAGGCTGAAGTGGCCACACAGACAACCAACCACTCTTAATTATATTTTCTTCATTTCTGTATGAAAATGTTACTATGTGTTTTGTCTATAAAATACAGAAAAAACACAAATATCTTAAAATATTCCAGTGTATTCAGGTATTTATGTTCACAGGGGTCATCACATACAGAGAAGAAACCAACTGCTGTATTTCTATACACAGCGGGCCTCCTAACCCCGTGACAACCCACAGACACCCCTTGAATCAGCCCAGGCACTGCCCTCGTGGGCTCTTGTGCACACAACACAAGTTCTGCCATAAAATATAAGAATTCAAGGATAAATTCCCCCCTTACTGTCAGTGGCCTTTTATTTTTTAATAAAAAGGCTTGACGTTGCAAATTCAACCATAGGAAAAGTGAGTGGGAGGTTAGGGTGGGATGGGAAAGTATATTCCCAGGCGAGTGTTGATTCTGGGACAGTTCCCTAAAATTGTAACATGTACATACAAAAAAGTTGTGAACTTTGGAGCTGGGCCAAATCGTTCCTTCTCTGCCAGCATACACCCGGCTTTTCTCCTTGGTACGAACACCCCAGCACGTCTCACAAAGCGGCAACACCGGGCAAAGGCAAAGCGCGGTTTGCCCTGATCTCTATGTATCTATTTAATGTTATCTTTGGGTTCAGGCTTGGGACCTGTGACAGAAAAAAAAAAAAAAAGGCAAACAAACATAGAGTGACTAATTCCCTTTTCTACCTGCAGCATTTGTCCTCGTTCGGAGGAGAGGTCACCAAGAATGAAAGAAAAAGACGTTAAATGAGCATTAGCTGGCTAATGTGTGGTTCAAATGTGTCCATTTGCAAATTAGCCTAGGGAATTCAGGATGTTGATTTTTTTATGGTCACTTAAGGATCACAAGGGCCATCATCTGATCTGAGTTCCTTGTGCCCCTGTGGACCAGAGCCGAGATTTTGCTAGCAGATTCTTCTGTAAACTAATGTTGGAACAGAGAATTCTTGCAGGGGAGAGCCTTGTCCTTTAGTAAACCCTTTTCAGCTTATTAAATCAGCTGAAAAAATAACAAAGAAATAAGAAACAAAATTAAATAATTTTGTACAAGCTACCTCAGCAGAATCAGCCATCACACGGGGGTATGAAGGGAAAGGGAACATAACCATCACTCACGCTGGAACCAAGCACAACCTTTGTGTCACCATTACTGACCAAGTGCTCCCCCCGCTTTGACTGCCATGCTACAAAGTTTAAAGTAGATTTAAGCCATTGGAAGGGCTTTGTCTTTCTCAGCAGCATGGTACATTTACAGGCATGGTAAAGTGCCAACCTTAGCTAGACAGACTGGCACACCGTGAGGGTCACAACAGCCACCCGCAGCACTATGGACCTTCTCCTGCCTATGGAAGAATCCTGCCCAGGGTGCCAGGGTTACCCACAGAGCAGTGCCTCCACGATAAGCTGTTCTGTACAGCCCCAAACTGAAGGTAAATTAATTACGTTTGGATGAGTAAAATCTGAAAAAGTCACAGAACACAACGCACATTATTTCATTTTAATACTTCGTCCGATTCAAAATAGCAGAACCTTTTACCCAACTCAAAGTGGAAAGGACAGTTAAAAAAAAAA